GCGTACATCTCCGATCTTCTCGGGAGAAATTGTTTCGTAAGTTTAAATATATATTTTATACGTGATGTATGCGCGGAAACAACACTCGAGTCGATCTCATATCATCGCTCTCTGATTGTGGAAGACTAACCAGACATTGGATCTCGACACAGAGGCCCGACGGCGCCGAACATCGCGTTCGACACAGCGATCACTTCGCACGTGTGAAATCTCACGCCGGTCTCTCGGACCCGGGCAATCGCGCCAAGAGTCTTAACAAGCCTCCTTTACGAGAACGTCCCCGATAAGAAAGTTTTTCGCGAGCCGCCAGAATCTGTATTTACCTTCGGCGCGCACCGTGTGCCCGGATTATTTATTTTTCCCCAGTGGTTACACAGCATTGAGGGGAGAAGCGAAAGAAATTGGAGGGGATGGAGGAGGGAGCTGGTGCCGCTATTTCGTCGACGCGAATGCACCGTCGAAATCGTTACGTATTCCGCGTCGCGCGGCTCGTGCCCGGAATTGCGAGTTGGCCCGGTTTCGCGAAAGAACGCCCGACGAACTTTGATAATCACTCGAAGCTCGAAATTCCCGCCACCTTCCGCCATCCCCTCCCTCATTCCCGCCCCTTCCCGTCCCGAGCCGTCGCGCGCATCGACCTTCGTTCAATTTTGAGGATTAAGTGTATAGGATGACCCGGATCCCGCACGTTTACGAATTCCTCGACCGATACGAGCTTTTCGTTTTTCTCACCGACGACAAAAATGTCGGACTGTGTCGCGGAGAGTTCTCGTTTCTCATTTATAAATTACGGGAGAGGCCAAGAGCTTCCCATAGGAATAGAATCTCGAAGAAGTCGATAAACCCCGAAACCTCATTCCTCGCGCAACTTTAAGTGCACTCCACCTCAACGGCAATTCCGCAACGTTGAATACTTGAAAGGGTATGAAAAGGATGAAGAGGAAAATTAAAAAAAAAAAAAGAAAAAGGAAAGCAAAGAAAGAACATTAAGACGCTCAATGAAATTTTTGGTGCGGAAACATCGAAGGTGTCGAAAAATTCACAGATGACAAAAAGGGAGCCTCGGTGGGGAGCGTCTGGGGTACTCTGTGTAATTTCCATGCTAACCTTTCGCGAGCTCCGGGTCGCGCGCGCGAGAGAGAGTTCAGAGGGCCATTAAATTTATTCCTTACAAAACCCCTCCCCTCCGGCCCTCCCTTCGCCCGCCGCGCACCTTTGACGCTCGTCGTCGAGCTTTCTCGCGATTCGCACCGACCGTCAATTAATCAACGGGAACGCGCGCGTTACAACAGTGTGACAATGATAATATAAAATTATTCGCCGCGTCTCGCACACGCGTGGGTGCAGTACGAGCGAGCCGCGATAAATTCATATACCGCAAACGAAATGATTTGTTAATGGACGTATCAGCCTCGGGGTATCGCAGTCTCTGCGACAACTGCAGTTGCCGCGCGACGTTTTGCTCGTTTGTTTAGTCACGCTTGCGAGCACCCGCGAGAAACGGATACCGGTTTCCGACATGGCGCGCTTCCGACGCGCTTTGACATTAGTTGCGCATATTTTGCGCCGCGTAAGAGCCGCGCATTACGCGATCGACGAAGAAGAAGCATCCCCGGGATGATGCACGAGTTCGTTAGACGCGAAAAACCTGCGACCCGCGCGAGTGTCGCGCGCACAAAAATACACTTCCGCACACACACGCACACGTCTTGCACATCTGCGTGGATTGCCGCGCGCAACCGGAACATCTGACGTCGTCGTTTCCGTCGATGCTCGGGCGCCAGGCGTCGTTACATGCACAGGGTGTTGCGTCAACACATTGGTCAGTATGACGGGTTGCTTACTCGCTTACTTCGCTGGCAGGTGTACGTGTCCGGACATAGACTCGAACTTGGCAATGTGCTCGTTCACAAGACGAATTACACTCATTTTTGTCACTAAATGAGATACGTGTTGCAAATCGTTTCATTCGTCATACTGATCTGTGTGCTAACACGACACCCTGTACATCCGATCGCACGGATGCCTCACCACTCACTCTAATGAATGAATTTCATAGTGATCTAGTTGGTTAATTCAGGAAGTAGGAAGTTCAAAGCAAAAGTGACATTTTGACAGTTTGACATAAAAAATATGCGTCAACCTAAGAAAGTTATCCGCCCACATGTGATGTTTAATCAGTAGAGAAAAAGTGAAATTGTTAAGGGAAGTGGAAAAAAAGTTGAGGGAAAATAAGAGATTAATATGCGAAATTAATTTAAACAATTAACCAAAAAGCATACACACACATATGTATACTCATTTCGTAATCATTATACAATTTACAAATATATAATAATTAATAAAGTGTACATATGTGTGTATACTTTCTGATTAATTATTCAAATTAATTTCGTGTATTAATATTTTACTTACCTTTCTCACTTTTATTCTTCCTCTACTAATTACGCGTCATATGTGAGCGGAGATAATCATCTTTACTGACGCATAGACTTTGTTGAAACGTCAAGCTGTCAAAATGTCAAGTGTCAAAATGTTTTGCTTGAAACACATTCCCGCTTTCCGGATGAATCAATAGTCACGAGAAACACGTAGCTGGAAACAAATGCGGTTGGTCGAAGATTGTTAGTGACTAATGAACGGTAAGGCATCTATACGATTGGGTGTACACCTCGTTGACACGTGGACACCTCATACTTTTAGCCGAACAATTTTTGTTCCTCGCGCGATGACGATGTTGTCTTTTTGCCACATATATCAAAGACCACGTATCAAACGTATAAACTAACGTGGAGAAAATCGAGGGTGCATGACAACTGCATCTGTGAACTCGAAATGGCTACACTAAAGATATGTTTTATCAAGCGAGGATCGGACTGGCACTGTGAATTAACTCGAATCCACGCGAGCCGTCGTTCTCATCGTCGAAAACTTTCAAATCTAACGGCGTTTCCGTAACCTTCTATCACAAACTACCGTGGGAGATGTAATTTCTCTTTGTTACAAAAAGTAAGATTTTTTTTTCATTGATCGAGAATTAATGATGTGATAGGAACACACTTGAGGGCAGTGTGTCGGTTGCCTATGCACCGACACGTCTAGAACGCGGGTTTAGAGAATGTCTAATCTATCACCCTTCGCGTAATTCGAACTAGATGAAGCGACTAGCGAAAAATAGATTGTCTTTAATTATGAATAAAATGTGAGTCAGCGGTGTATCGCATAAGATATTTCCTCAATATCAAAGTATCCAAATATATTGCGACTGAAATAGACGATATGCAATATTCGTAAACAATTCATGTATGAAACAGAATAAACGTTCATAAAATGTCGGAAATATGGAGAACAAATTTAATACTAATTTTTGTATTGAGGATCGTTCTTTCTCCTTCCGCTAATTTTTTAAAATAACGAGGAATATCGCTTGTCTGTTATCAATCGCGATTCTGCCAAAGAAAGTGATAGGTTAGATATTCCTACGTTTAGAAGTTATCGCTGTTTCCTCGATATTGCTTGAAGAGACCGAAACATCCGCTGAATCGGAAGAATTATCTTATTAAAAAGTACAATCGCACGCTCGTAAAAAAATTGAAAGAATGATTCTCCATTCCCATTGCACGAGAGAGTATTTATCAATCAAATCTCATATAATTCCATACATTATTGTTTTCATTATTCCAACACGAGAAATTAAATTTTATTTAATTTTAAATAATTCTACACACACAGAAAAACGACTTGCGAAAAAATTCCCGGTTTTGTTTCATCGTGAAAATAATGTGGATTATTCCACTCTCGATAAATCTGTTAAAACATTTAATGAAAAGCTCGATTTGTAAAATATACAGCCACAATGAGAAAAAAACATATCTAAGAGACGATCGATATTCACTCGATGGGTGCCTAATAACATGTTCACTTATACTAATATAAAATATTTTCCAAAAAAAAAAATATATATACATCGTCTTAAAACCTTAGAGAAATCTTAGCTTTTCATGAAGGCAATCGTTTATTCTATTTAAACAATAGAACTTAGATTCAAGTAAGTGTGCTATCAGTGCCCACCTAAGGAATATTTATTATCACCTCGATACTGTTTCTCTCAGTATATCTGCTGTGCTTGAAGATATGTACCGATTCACAAACTACTCGGGGCTCTCCTTTCGCTCTCCTGAAAAGTAGGTAATACCTTAATTGATGCCCTTCGTGCCAGGCGCCGGAGATTCAACGACGTTAATCTTCGATCGAATATCATCGATCTTAGCTCGAGGCGACGTCAACGGGCAAATGTGGGTTACACACCACTCGGTAAACGCGAAGGCAAGGCAAAGTGGAGAAATCAAGGCCCGTCGCACAAAAGCCGTATGCTCGAGCCGCTCGCTGCAACATGCGAGGCACGACGGCTCGACGTGCACAACCGAGGACAATAACTATTAGCAAACTTTATAACGAACTTGGATGTATCCGCTCATCTGTGCTCAGCTGCGAGTTTCTGCCGGGGGATCAGACGTGAAATCGGCATCACGTCACCCAACATCGACATCGGCTCCTTTGTCACGAACTGCGAACGATTAATGGCAGGTTGTGTGTACCTTCGCGCGTTTGCCCTGAGCGCTCTGAGCGGCTCGCAACAACAATACGGCTTTCGCAACGTGGGAACGCGGCCTCGACAGATTTCGGAATGGCGCGAGGAAGCGGACTGCGTTTCGTCGCGAACGTACTTTAATCTCCTCGCACCGTGGATCTCATTGCGAAACGCGAGATCGATCGCGATTAAAATAGCGGCAAGACGATGTGATTGCCCCCTTACAAGGGACTGGGAGGAGGGGTGATCCTTTGGATCACGCTTGTAAAGGTAATGATCCATTTTTACAAAGTCTCTTGGCGTTTGCAACGGGGGAACTTGTAGGAACTGCTAATGGATGCTAACTCTACGTTTCACCTTTTAGGACAGGGAACGCTGTTTGTTTGTGTGTAGTAATGCGTACACGCTCTAATACTGAAATCGAAGGGTATATTTCCGAAAATATATTTCTTCTCGGTTCTTTCCACGAAGGCGCTCGATCCGGGGTCGATATCAAATTTATCGCTACTTGGGTAAACTGAAGATTAAATTGAACCTTAAAACACTGTGTCGCCGACGACTCGCCCTGCCATCGTTCGTTTGTCGCGTAATCGCGACACTTTGGCCCGCGACGGCGCGATTTCGCTCCCGAAATCGAGTCCCGCGCTTGCCCGCGTCTCCACGAAGCAGAGCGACGTTGCGTTCTCTCGCGAATCTGGCGCGATTACGCCCTCCGTCGGGGATGCCGGGAGAGAGAAGGCTTTTATTACAAAAATATCCATCTCCCGGCTGCCATCCTCTCGACGCACCTCGCAAACACTCGCGACCTAATAATTTCTCGCGAAATAATTTCTCGACGGGTGACCGCTGATCGATACAGAGGAGTACGATCGAGTAATATCATGATGAACTAATTGCTAGCACTTTTACGACAAGACGTTGCCCGTTCCTCATGATAAAATCCCTCGTCATCGTCTACGACGCACTGCGAGTGCAGTGTGTGCGTCCACTGACGATGAGGACGACGGAGCAACGACGAGGACGACGGCTGCGCCGTCCTCGAACAGTCGATAAGAATTTTCACTGGCGATAAGTATCGCGAAAGTTTAGGCTCGGCTCATGCGCGATATAGGAGCGCGTCCTTCGGTGCACTGACATAATACAACGCACGGCAAACGTCACGCATTCCATCGATGTAAACGGCCAGCCGTTCGTAGAATCGTGACAACGAGCCCCCGGTTCCTCGTAACTGGGACGACCCTGAACTCCTCCTCCGTCGCCCGATCGTAACTTTCACCGCCACTTGGAGAGACTCCGGCCCCTTCGGCTGACGAATACGCTCGATCTCGTCATCGATCCGAAAGAACCCGACCAACGTCCGTCCGCCTGTCCGTCTGCCTGGCCGTCTTCACGCTGTCTCTTCAAGGACACGAGAACGCGAACTTGACGCGTCCTTGTCGCGGCAAATTACCTTCGGGACTTTCTCGCTAATTCACCGGCTGGAAAGGGGCGCTCTCTCTCTCTCCCTCCGAGGGCGCCCTTGCTGCTCGTGATTAATGAGAAAGCGATCGAGCCGCTCGTTGATGTACCACGTGAGGAGGGATATTCCGCAAGGGAGGGACCAAACATCGCAACAATCGATAATCACTGGGAACATCTCGGATGATTACGGGCATCATCGGTGTGATAATCAGCCGGTATCCATAGCCTGATGAGTATGTATTCATGGTTGAGAGCGAGCCAACCATTACGATGCCCGCGTGGGAACATTTGAACCGTGGTTCCAGTCTTCTGATTTGTCCTTGGATCGATCGGCCGGATTGTAATTACATTCCTCTGCGCCGGACGTCCGAAGGAATATCCGTCCCGGAAGAATACACCTGTTCCCTCTCAAGTCGATTGTGCCGACACAATGACTGCGTTCTCGACGTGTGGATCTCACAAGCGGAACCCGTTCTCGCTCGGCCGATCGATCGGAGGGTATTCGGGACGATTTCCCTCAAACACAAACAGCAAGTAACATCCAGTCCGTCTGCACGCATCCGTCTTCATTCCCGCGGCCGATCCGCCGGTGAAGAAAGATCCTCCCCGACGTCGAGTCGATGACTAGTTTCAGATAAATCCGCATCAGCGCGCTCGCTCCAATAAAATCCAATTGGAGCCGCGCGAATTCCCTGCCCGTGCCACGATGAAGATCTACGACGTTGCAACGGCATCCTGACGCTGCCTTCCTCGGGTCGTCGCCTCGCGCGTCACATACCGGCACTGTTCCGTTCTCACCGCGTAAACCTAAATCAATCACCTCGGTCGACCGCCGCCGACTGGAAAATTCATGAGGCAAAGTTTTCGGAAGCGGAAGTGCGCGATCCGCGAAGGAGTCGAGGAGGCAGGACGGACAGAGGACGGTGTTTCTTCTTGGCTACGCGACGATGTCCATGTCGGACGAGGAATTCGACGTGGTCACCGCCAGACTGCCCAGGGTGTCCTCGTCGGCTAAGCCGTGATGACAGGCGGCCGCAGGTGGGCTCAGCGGTGGCAGATGCGGCGACGACAGCATCGGGTCGCCGCCGTGAACGGGACCACCGGTGTCGTCCTCCATGAGGTCCTCCAACTGCGACATGCTCAGGCTCGTCGCCTCCTCTACCACCAGGTCTGGCATCTACGGCAGAAAAGCATGCGACATCCTGTAAAACGAGCCAGCCGGCCCTCCTCATCCTCGGGTCAGCGCCTCCGTGCCGCACAGCGGAGTCAAATGAAATTTCATGTTTCAAAAAAAGCTACAATCTCGAAATTTAAACCGATTTCGACACTTTTCCGTTTTTTCCCTATTTTTTTAATGGAAGTTAATACAATTTGACACAACTTTGTCGAGTTCTATTCTGGTCTTTTGCCTCTCTCTTCTTCTAAATCAAACACAAAGAAGTTAGATTTGGAAATATTTCTCAATCGAGTAATTTCGATAGATGCAGAAGCTGAAAATCTATTACATCCAGAACAATATTTAATGAAAAAATTGATAACATAACAGTAATAATTTAGTCTTACTTAATCCGGTAGTTTTTGTTTATTAAAATCAGATACTATTTCAATTAATCACGTTTGTTGAGGTAACATTTAGCGAGTCTACGTCAGTCTGTATGACTTTTCTTTAAGCTTATAATCAGAATTTGAATATTTAATTTCGATATCAATATTTGTGCCTGTAATGTTAATGATAAGATGAGATATAAGGTGAGTTATCTTCTGTTTGATTGAGAAAAATTTCTGAATCTAACTTCTTTATATTTGATTTGAAAGAAGAGAAACAAAGAGACAAATATCTGACTCGACAAAGTGTTCTAAATTTTATTAGCTTTAATTAAAAAGGAAAAAGAGTCGGTTCGAATTTCAAAGCTGTAGTCTTTTTTGAAACATGAAATCTCGTTTGACTCCACTGTGCGCCAGAGCTGCTAACTCGTATATGAACATGGACGTTGTGAGCGTGAACTCGGATGGAATTTCAACTGTCGACGTGGAAAGGTGGAGAGTTTGGAGGATATTTCGCAGCGAAATCTTCTATGAAAGCAGGAGTGGACGTGCGTCGGTACGGTCTTCCATGGAGGTGAGAGTGCATGAGTCGATGGTCTACGATGAAAGCAGGAATGGACGTGCAGGAATGGAGAAGGCTTCTTTGTAAGGAGGCTTCTTCTTAAAGGAGGAATGGTCGTGCCAGTGTTATGTTTGATCGTGTCCGTCATCGATTAACAATATGAATGCGGAAGCAGATTTTGCGCATGTACGGACGACATTGGAACGTTTACAGATGTTTGCATTGCATATACACATGACAAATACGATGAGGAGTAAACGATTTCGGAGAATCAGTGTGAAAAATTATCAACTGAGTAAAATCAGTCTACGAAAATTCGCCGCAATCATACTCTGAAAGAATTCAATATCAGGGCTCGTCAAGGATCGACGAACCCTGACAAAAATGTTCTGTTAACCTTTTAAAGCGCAAGACGTAAAAAATTCGAATTCTAATAAAATATTCATGTCCAGAATGACAACCCAAGAGATAATTCCTTTCGAAATTAATAGGTGATCTCATGGTGAAACCACTGTGCTCTAAAGGGTTTGGTCGTCAGGAATAAATGGTGAGATATGTAATAATGAAACTCTCTGTTGAATGCTGTTTTCGACGAAAATAGCAGGAATAATTCAAATCAAAGAGTGAAATAAATTATTCTCTTTCGATGCCGAAGTAGCGAAACACATTAAATATTCGGTAAGGTTTGAATTTAAGCGTCTACCAGCCGGAGACCTATACAACTTGACAAAATAAGCTGATTGAAGCCGTTCCTCTGCCAGACGCAGTTAGCTGAGGCAACTTTACGAAGTCACACAGACGGGTTTACCAGACTCGGAATTAATTTCCAATCGCGTTTCAGGCGCAGACCGTCATCCAATTTACCTGTCGTTATATTACCGATGCAACTAATTCGTCAAGTTCCTCGTCGTCGATCCTCACCGCGACGAATTTAAGCGAAATTATGCGCAGATACCAGTTGCGACGAACATTTCACACGTAACAAGTATCAGATATTAACGGTGTGTGTACAAAAACCACGATGGCAATTCCGCTTTCCTACCTTGCAAATTACACCCGCCTGAAGACTAATAGAGCCGGGATCTTACCGGAAAACAAGAAAGAAGGCGTAGCAAGTGCGTTCCTTGCACGCTTCAGCAATAAAGATGCCCGCTTTCGGCCGTATTTTTCGCAGTCGCACGAATTCGTACTTGACGTGATATTCCGCGAAGCGATCGCATGCGCTTTTTACATAACTGCACTCGGACGCGGAGGGCGTTAAATTTGCATGAAAAAAATGCCGTGGCGTGCGGTGGTTGCGCAACGCGTTTCTGACGTTACAACTCATTCAGCGATTATCCTTTGTCCCGACGGCCGGCGCGGCGGTGGCGGCGGCGCGTTCTTCGCGAAAATATACGCGGCGAGATGCGAGATAAAAGGTATAAGTCTCGCGACGGAGAGGTAGCACGTACGATAAGGCGGCCAGGCGATAAGGAGTGCGCACCGCGAGAAACGTACGCACCACGTCGGTGGTAAGAGTAAATATTTTCCACGTCGACGTTCAACGTGTGCAGATTTAACACGCAATTGTGTTAATGCGATTATGCAATCGTGAGGCGAACGTTGCTCGAATGCGATAATGTGTCTCCTCCAACTGTGCAAGGAGAGCACAGCGCAAACTAAGGCGTGTTTTTCACTCTCTGTACATATAACGAGAAATATTATTTTCCAATTCAAGTAATTTAAAATTTAAAGGGCTGCAAAAAAGAAGAAAAGAGAAAGAGAGAGAAAGGCCAACGTACGGGGAAAAAACAAATTTATTTTTTATAAATTAAAAAGAAACATACAACCAACTGCTGATCCTCTCTTATAATATTACTTTCTTTAATATAATATTCCTTTTGCGCGAGTCGCTTTGCAATCAGCAACTTTTGCGTTTGATCCCATTTTTAGTGTAAAAAAAAATTTGAGATACATCTTCAGCGTGTTTGAGATAAAACTTTTGCGAGTGGCGATTTGGTAAACTAGACGAGACGTCGAGAGGAGTGCGTTCTAAAGAAAACGCTTTATTGAATAATTTATCAATTAGACATTCGTTAAATTTCATTAATTGAAAGTACTCTCTCTTTTTTAAAGAACTTAACTCTCGTTATTTTTATTTTTTTTTTCGTTTTTTTTTAACAGAATACCTTCATCTGTTTCTCTCTCTTTTTCTTACTTTCTTTTTCTAAAAGTAATTGATCGTTATCCGAGCCACAGTTCTACGGGGATCGTTTACGTTTCGCGCAAGGTAAATCGAGGAACGAAATTAACGTTAAGCAAACCGACGGTAAAGTGTCGCGGTAAAATTCGTCGTGCAATACGTCCCAAGACACTTCCTTCGCCCCGGTGGAACTCGCCGCAGAGTCGCGAAGTGGGATGTTATCAATGTTTAAATTTCTAACCGCGAGGAAGCTGCTTGTCAGACTACTTACACTCCGCGACGGAACTTTATCTCGGACAATAATTCAACTCATCCCCCGGTACGTCATGTCGCGTCTCTCCTTTCGTTATCTCGTAGCGACTGCGTTTCCGAAAACGCGAACGAGAGCGGACGTAAATTAACGTCAATGCACACAACAATCACACAGTCATCGTGACGCCCACGGATCGTCACGACGAGGAACGACGAAGGGCGAGCTTTCGACATTTCGCCGGAGGAATGCGCGACCGACATCGGCCAAACAGAAAATTATAAACACGGGTGATTAGGTTACAGGTACAAATCATCTCGTGCTCATTGACTCTGCTTCACGATATTTGCTGAACTCTTCGAAATATATCGACGGCATTTTATACAACGTGCAAGCAGCCTCTTTGACGACAAATATTCAATGTTACTTAATTTCGTTGTCCAACAAATTAATTAACCTTACACGCCAACGCTAATTGCAGCTCTAATTATGGCGAAACTGAGAAAAACTTTTTAAGAAATAAAAAATATTTATTCGGTGGGTACTAATAACATATCTACTTATACTAATGTACAAAATATTTTTTTTTAATAAAAAAATATATATTTTCTTAAAACTTTATCTCTTCATGAAAGCGATTGTTTAGTCTATTTATAAATAACAGAATTTAGATAAATATGTTAATAGTACTTACTAAAAAGAAACATTTTTTTTTCAGATATTTTTCCTCTCAGTGCACGAATATATATTATTTCTCATATCAATATTTTTGCACATGGCATATCCCGCGTATCATTCCCGACGCTTCAAATTCGTTAAAAATTCACGACTGTGGGCGGACATATGTCGGTTATGTCATTACGTCAACACAAATGTGATAATAACATTAATAACGCACTTCTCTCTCTCTCTCTCTCTCCCTCTCTCCCTCTCTCCCTCTCCCTCTCCCTCTCCCTCTCTCTCTCTCTCTCTCTCTCTCTCTCTCTCTCTCTCTCTCTCTCTCTCTCTCTCTCTCTCTCTCTCTCTCTCTCTCTCTCTCTCTCTCTCTCTCTCTCTCTCTCTCTCTCTCTCTCTCTCTCTCTCTCTCTCTCTCTCTCTCTCTCTCTCTCTCTCTCTCTCTCTCTCTCTCTCTCTCTCTCTCTCTCTCTCTCTCTCTCTCTCTCTCTCTCTCTCTCTCTCTCTCTCTCTCTCTCTCTCTCTCTCTCTCTCTCTCTCTCTCTCTCTCTCTCTCTCTCTCTCTCTCTCTCTCTCTCTCTCTCTCTCTCTCTCTCTCTCTCTCTCTCTCTCTCTCTCTCTCTCTCTCTCTCTCTCTCTCTCTCTCTCTCTCTCTCTCTCTCTCTCTCTCTCTCTCTCTCTCTCTCTCTCTCTCTCTCTCTCTCTCTCTCTCTCTCTCTCTCTCTCTCTCTCTCTCTCTCTCTCTCTCTCTCTCTCTCTCTCTCTCTCTCTCTCTCTCTCTCTCTCTCTCTCTCTCTCTCTCTCTCTCTCTCTCTCTCTCTCTCTCTCTATCTATCTATCTATCTATCTCTCTCTCTCTCTCTCTCTGTCTTTCCCTCTCCCTCCTGCTCTTTCTCCGTGTCTTCGTGCTGATATGTCCTCTTTAAGAGGCCAGGATCTGTCGTCACGGAGACGGTCGATCGCGGAGCGGTCGTTATCGGTACTCCGAGTTCTTAATCGCATCACGAAACCGCGCGTCAAGTCCCGTATGTACACGATCGTACGTGTACGATCTTATCGGGCACACTAATTCAACGGTAACTTTTGCCGCCATCTCACGAGACATCTCCATCGCCGAGCATCCTAAAGAGCAACGTCGACGACAACGACGACATTAGTAGCAGCGACCAGCGCTGACGACTATCTCGAAGATACGCCCCTGGCCGGGATCGCGAAATCGCAGCGAGGGGCAAGACGAACGAAAGCGATTGACACGACGACCACGACGATAAGCCGCAATTCATTATTCGCAGTAATAATCCGCGCGGGCTAACAGCCTTCAAAGAAGAGCAGCCCAGTCGCTGCTGTACGTCAGTCAAGCTGACTGTATACATTCGGCGATAGAATGATAATGACGAAATGCAATACTCGATTTTTCATACTTTTTACACTGAAATTGTAGCGTGTCCATATAATAATCAAAATTATCGGATTATTATTAGAATTATTGTAGGAAAGGCTTTGCAGCGGCGATTATAGAAATTATCATAATTGTAACAACGATTATTACGATAATTATTGTGACAATTATCACAATACAGTGTAAAACTGAAAATCCGCACGGCTCTTGCATCTGTTGTCACCGGTCGTTGAGGCGCTGTCCGAAATTTCGAAAGGTGTCTACGAGGCCCGGCACACGCATCGCAACCTGTGCTGCCGATCGGTTCCCATCATTTTGGCATGGAGATCGAAAGGTCGTTATCTCAAAAGTCGCTCGAGGCGTTTGCGAAGACCGACACATTAATTGTACGTGAACGAAAGGGAAAGAAAACGAGCCATTTTTCATTATGCAAGCACGGCGTGGTCGCGATCCCCGGTTACGTAATGGCGCCGTTGCGCTACGTCGACACGCTGTCAAAAGACGGCTTTGCTGCTCTCTCGCATGCGGAGGAGAGCATATCGATAAACGAGGACGTAGAAGACACACAACACATACATACAACACACACACACACACACACACCGGCGTGTGTTCTCTCGCGTATGATCAGGAGAATGAACGAATAAGCAAACAGCTATTCGCCACAGTCGGAACAGATGCACATTATGAAACTAGTCCGGGGAACGAGCAGAGCAGAAGGTTTATTCGGATCAAGGATCACGGATCGATCGCTATATTGACGCCGGTCGCTCCACAGCCTCGAAAACCGACCGCGCGCGGCTGTCGCATTAAGATTAACTGTCTCGCCGTTACGACACTGAGCCCCACTAATACCATCGACCGAAATTGACGCTATCGTACATGTGTCAGGCGTGCGCTTGAGTGGGTGTCGTCGCGCGCGTACACCGAGAGAAAAAAATAACTGATCCAACTAAAATTAATCTTTTTTAGTCTCAATCATATTTTCTGGTTGCTCCAATAAGATAATAGTAGTAGTACGCATATAAGATAATTGTCATAAGATAATTGTCATTGATGTTATAATAGAATTTAACTAAAAAATGGTTTTCCATAATTTATAGTATAATTACTTCTCTATGTAATTATAGTTATAAATATGAAACATTTTTTTTCTCAGTGTATCGCCGAGTAAAAATCTCTCTCTCTCTCTCTCTCTCTCTCTCTCTCTCTCTCTCTCTCTCTCTCTCTCCCTCTCTATCTCGAGTCACTTTGAGAATAATTCACGCGAGCATAAACCGTGTGTTTATCGTCGAAAGCTTGGAAATCAGTGAGATGAGCATATCGAGATCGAGTGTGAAGAGGAGTTGCGATATGTTGAAAGTTGAACGCGCGTGAGAAACTTGCGCGATAGAACAGCGACGGATATACATGCATCGAAACGATGGCAAGGCAAAATATAAAATGGAGAGAACGACTTTCGACTTACGTGTACCTTCCGTTGCTCGAGTTTACTCCTCGAGAAGCTGTTGAGCATAGTCACGGATGTCGACGCCCAGTTGAAGTCCGAGATCGGAAGTCCGTGCGCCTTCGCCTGCAGCTCGAGCTCCTGCACGCGCAGGAGCAGCCGTCGATTCTGGTGCTCCAGTTGCTTGTGCCTGAGCTCGTTCTGCTTCATCCGCGTGAGCTCGTTCTTCAGTAACTTTATGTACTCCACCGAGGACTTGAGGATCGTACCCTTGTTCGGCCTGACGTCCCTAACGATCTCGTAATACCTGCAACAAAATTACATTCGCCTTGCTCAACTGACGTATAATAAGTACGACGAATAATTGCGTGCGCTCGATGAAGAGACTTCGAGCGCGATATTCGTCAAATTATCTTTCGCATTTTGACGGCCGCTGTCATGTGCGGATTATTGCTTCGTTCTACCAGCGGTTTAATAAGTAAACAATAATAAAAACACTATTGTGAGTAAACTCATCGATAATGACAGTCTATAACATTATAGAGTGCAACATTATAGATATAACGTTATAGAGGTGCGGATTTACAGATTTATGTACAAGGATATATTTATTTTCTTTTATAAACATCGTCTAAACGAGCTTTGTGGAAATTTGCCAGAGGAAGGTGAAAAATTGTCCATGTGTGTTACAAATGCGGTCGTTAAAGTATTAACTTGAAGAAGAGTCCGCATGCGTCGAGGAAATGAACCTTAGCAGATTATTGCATGGTATTTAAAAGATAGTGTGTGCACAAAGAAAGAATAAATTATATAACGAAATAGTTCTTTTTCCGATGGTTTTTTGCCTTCGCAGCCTTCCTCACGTCAAGTCCTCTCGATCATTATTAGCAACGCTAAAAAGTTAATAACGTAATTGCATAATTCCGCAGTACATGCAACGAGTGAAAAGTAATAGCGAGGGGGGAAATTCGCGAGTCCCACACTCACATTTCCAATTTCCTCGTATCCTCTCAAAGAGACATAAAAAGGCGATGACGACCGGGGCGATGGTGGATGGGACGGAAGGGTGCCGGAAAAGAGCCAGGCTCCCCTTTGAAACCCTAGGCGCGCGATTATTTCGTCGGAAATGTGTTCGAGACAGGGTGTTTCGCGGGAGATTCCCAAAGTTCCTCACCCGACCGTAATACGACCGATATTACCGTATCTCGAGTCACGCCTCGCACCGTCGCGCCGCCACCGCCGCCGCCGCCGCCGCCACCGCCGACGCCGACGTTTTGAGGGCCGTCTCGAGATGGAATTCCGCGCGGGAATTCGCGCGGAATATCAGGCGCATGTCAGACCGTGATAATTCGACGAGACGTAGGCGACGAAATCCTGAAGAATTTCCATAAAACGAGGAGCTGCGCTCGCGCACGCACCGTGGCGGCGTTTTCTTCTCGGCGCCGTCTTCGCGGAGTTGTCCTCGCCGACACGGGCGATTTGTTGTTAGTCCCGAGGATTTCTCACCGGAGACACCCTCGAATAAATTCATGAGAACCCGGCGCGTTCGCGGCACCTCGAACTCCTGGCGGAGTCCTGCGCTTCCTCGCGCAGAGACATCCACGATGATCCGGGCGCGGACAATCTCGCCGTGCCAGGGTGAGGGATGCATACGAATGGTTGGCGAATGAGAATGCGCGAGATTGTCGGAGAAAGTACAAATTCTTTTTTTCAAAAACTTACGGCGATTTACTATACACGACGTCGAGAATGCGACGCAGTTTCTGTTGGCATGCCGTATTCTTTCTGCTAGTTTTGCGATAAAAGCGAGTGCAAATGTTAAATCTTACAAATGTGGCTTGCGTTTCTTTCTGCAGAACAAGGAAACAGTCGCTTGTTCCGCGACAATTCAACTTGCCATCGCGAAGAAAAATAAGTCCTTTATCTCAAACAACGAGTAGACATATTAAATCGTACAAATATAGATCGCCTTCTTTCTGCAAAACAAAGAGGCAGTCGCTTGTTACGCGACAAACGCGGAAATTCAATTTGCCACCGCAAAGGGTTATTGAATTGTGTCCCGAAATGAAAGCGAAGGTGCGTTAAGTCGCACGAACGTAGCACTTCTTTGCAATACAACAAACGCGGTCATGTCTCGGATGACTAATGTGACTCGTTCAAATCAATAATAAGATATATCGACGATAAGATACGGACATTATCCGCGAAGTATTGTAATTCGCGCGATAGGCATACGTGAGTATTTGTATTTAAACAACACGCTCGTCGCCTGGAAAAACTAGATTGCCTCGGCCTCTCTTGTAGATACCGTCTCGATACGCGGTCGCTTGTTTGTTGTGTTATCATCGACTTCGACATACTCTTTCTGCGTCTCTGTTCGGCGTCTTGCGCGATAACGAATATCTGGGAAGCGAGCGCGACTTTCAGCAGGACTCGCGCGCGCGAGAGGTCGTCGCGAAGTTCTCCCATAATGGACGCTCCTCTCGGGGAGACGGTCCTCTTCGTCGTCTCGCGACTTAAATATTTCCCACGCGGAGCTCTCGCGCACAACACTCACGGATTTTCGTCGTTATTCACGCCTTTTTTTCGCGCCGAGAAGCACCGCCGCTTCTCTCGCTTCTGAGAGCGCGCGGGCGCGGTCGTTGATTTACGACGGGATCGTTCCGTCGATTTATCGCCCGAAAAATCGCGGAGCGCCGTCCACGAGGAAAGCGGCGAATGGAAAGCCTATTATGAGACGGTATTCGTCATGTCCGGGGCGACGCATTCATCCTTCGTGGACTCCGAGCGAATCCACCTCTTCACTCCTCCTCGCCCCAACCCCCGGGAAAACATAATCCTCAGCCTCATCTCGCAGGATACCGAGGATCGAAGGAACATCATGCAGCTGTCGCGCATCTTTAAGTTCACCTGACGTCGCCTGTGCAATATCGAAGCGTCCTGCCGAAACTCTCAAGCAAAGTAACGGCTTAAATCCGTGCAGAATTGCAGTTCCATTCTTCGCAAAAGAAAGACTAGCGAAATATTCGGAGATAATGACGTGTAGTCAGTAACGGTTGAAAATTGATCGTCACTTCTTTTTTCCAGCAAGTTTCACGGCTCACCGAGTCGAATAAATATAATAAATAAAATAGCAGAATTTACTTTTTAGTATTTTATTTAATTATTAAACGAAAAGGTATCCCTTGGCGGCTGCGCTGAAAAAAGGATCTGATTGTCGAAACCAAAATTTGGTTAAAATGGGATCAACGAAACATTTGATAATGGCAAACAAGAAATTTAATTACTGCTATTTTGCTCAGTGACTAAAGAAATATATTATTGAAAAAGTAAGGCAAAATAGTAATAATTAAATTTTTTGGTTGTATAATTATCAAACATTTGATTGATCCTATTTTAATCAACTTTTAGTTCCGTCAACCAAATCCTTTTTTCAATGAATGACACAAAAAAGAGAGGAAGAAAGTTTTCAAAACAGATTAGAACCTTATTTGAATCAAGAGTTTAAAAAAGTGAGTAATTCTCAAAGGATTCTAAACGTGTTGCCATTGACCGTGCGCGCAAACAAATGAAAAAGAGATACTCGATTAAAGTAATTTTCTTTGAGTAATTATTGTTTCTTTCTTCTCGGGATGAGATAGCGCGCATTCTCGCGGAGACGCGAGCAACGCCGGTGTGACGTTGTAATAATTACGGTCTCGGCGAGGCTGTAATTAAATTCATGCGCGATCAGGGATGGCGAATGGGCACATTGCAGCGAGATCCGCGAGATTACGGCAGGCCAAAAGGGCCGCGTGGAGTACCACACAAAGCACTTTTCCACAAGCGAGGAGTCATGTATGCCGCAACAAGTTCGCGACGACCGAATACGCGGAATCCGCCGACGCGCGTTTTAACTGCCGCTTCGTCGAATGCTGCATTTTATTAATTTTTCATGTCGCATGAGAGAAGATGCGTGTGTTTTTAGCCGCTGAATTGTTCATAGGCGCGTGGGTTTACGGGTTTCGCAACGAGGGTAGATACCACCGCCGTCAACACGTTGCCAAGTTAACTTCCACGAATTAATATTCCGACTCGTTGCATCTTTCAGCGAGCCCGTCCGCGCGTTTCGCCAACTTCTGCTGCCGAATACAACCGGATTCGTGTAATTATCATTACTTTCTAGGAAAATGCGCAACTTTCGGCCCGTAACCCCATCGCTAAACGCGACTACTTCGATCTCGCGCCATTCCTCAAATTCAATTGTTGGGCGCGTATTCCGCACTGCATTCAGAGAAAAAGCGATAGCCACTGTCGGGGTGACAAGAGTTTTTTGTGCGTAGCATGTTTATTGAACTGTTTACATTACAATCCTGCATACAAAACTCGTACAATTGTCACCTATACAGTTGCCATCACCATGTTTTTCTCCGAGCGTGAACGTGTACGTTGTAGAGAATAGGTGTCGTATGAAACCACTTGTTGCATCAATTATCAGCGCCACATATTTTTATGGAACTGTATCTTCGGAATCATTAGAGAGATAAGACTTACTACATGTGTCCGAGGAACAATGACCACGAGTATAAAAGTCCATAACACGTTCGCTACCGGCGTCACACCGATATATGACGCACCGATCTCTCTCACGGGAGATCGACCACGCGTATTTAAAGCGGCGACAATTTTTCTCTCCATACCCACGCAAATAAACCGTTTTGCATAAAGAAGTACAGAATAGGCCATGGAGACGAGCCGTTTTCGAGATGACGCGTGACGACGGACGTCGAGTACAAATGCGCGAGCAAAGAATACGCTCACACCGCGCCTTCCGCAACCTGCCGAAATCAATTGCCGTTTTACTGTGATTAACGGGAAGATGCGTCTGAATTGTTCCGCGCTCTGTCGGCGGCGGAACAACACCATCGCGACGCGTTTGCAGGCCTCTCCCAATTCGCGCGGTTTTCGTACGGCGCGTCGGGAACGAGTTTGCACGGCAAACAATAAACAGCCGCGCACCGCCGGAATCGGCGAGTTTCTCCTTCGTTCGCGCTAATGAGCAGCAACGTAAGGATAACACGAGTGACGGCGAATGAGAGAGAGAGAGAGAGAGAGAGAAGGAGAAAGAGATTCGGGACGTCTCGCAGGAAGGAGGACGGCTTCGAAACTCGAGCGGGATAAACGGAGACGCCGAGGCAAGACGGGAGGGAAATCTGTGTCGTGTTTGCTGGTGTCTTTAGAACGGGCTGTACTTCGTTATCACTGGCGCGCTATCGCGCCGAGTTTGCTCGCGCTCCCCTTGATATCCTCCCCGGCAAAGCCGAAACT